GATGTGGGCGAGCTGCGCTCCATCGCCTGCGACGCCCTCCTGCAGGAGAGCTTCTACCAGAACAAGAAGCGCCCACCCCTCTACCAAGACCAGGAGCACACGCCCGGCCCGTTCCTAACGCAGCTCGTTTCCACCCTGGCTGCTCGGCTGTCCTGTCGCAACCCGCTGCTGGCAGCCTCCCCCCCTGGGGCGGAGCGGGGCTGGGGGGGGGGGGGGGGGGGGGGACTGTGAATCCGAGGGCAGCGTCGCTGGCCCAGCCGAGTTGTTGGACCATGGCTAGCAGCGTGCCGTGGGAGCGGATTTCGGTTCTTCCGTTTCACTGCAGCTACTGAAGGAGAGTTGGGAGGGTGTTAAATGCAAAGGGGTGATCTCTGTTTATCTTTCTGTTCTATTCCAGATCTAAAACCTGAAGTTAACTACTACTGGCATCACGGCGAGGAAGTTGTTGTTCACGGGCATCGCAAGGGTAGAGTTGATCCTGTGCGATTTCAGATAGATGATAAGCCACACCTCCAGATCCGTGTACCAAAGCAGCTTCCAGAGGTGCGGATGTTTTCAAAAGCAAGTGAATCGCATGTGTTTGCACTCATGTTTCTGACAGCCACTGAAACAATGTGATAGGTAGTATGTGGAGGACCTGTATGTGGAGGCATGTAGCACAGTGTGCTTTTTTGAAGTCTTAATGCCCTTTCTACCTTGTTGTGGCAACTACTTTGTAAATACCTAGAAAATCTTCTAGACTTCAAGTTGGTCTTCTTTATGCTTTAGGTAAAATGCATATTGTTACACTTCATTTAAAGAACTTACTGACTTTCTTGTGAGTGGAGATAAGGTTAAGAAATGTGATGTAGAACATCATTTGGTAGAGAGGAAGGTGAGAGAAATAGAAATATGGAGTAAGAGAGAACACGTATAATCTGAATATGAGCTCTGTTAGCTGTTAGTACTGCATAACAGTTGTTTTTTTGAATGGTCAGTTTTCTGGAAGCTGATTCAGTACTCTTAATCTTTTTCTTCTACGTTTCTACAGTGATAACTGTGTAGCCTATGAGGGTCTCTGTTGCCCAGTTTCCACCGCAGGCAGAAAACTGCTCCACTTTCTGTAAATGCTGAGCATTTCTTACTAACTTAATTGTACAATTTACTTAGGTTAGTACTGTCAGATGTTACAAACCTTGGCATTTTGAAAGAACTGTTTAAGCAATTAAAAATGTTACATGATGCAAAATACTGAATACCTGCAAACTCACTTTTCTGGTTCAAATTAGTTTATTGACTGCTAGAAATGGTTTTGATCATCTTCTACAGAAGTAGATTCTGGTTTTGAAGATAGTACCAACTGGCAGTTTTGTTAGTGCCATTTCACACAGGTTTTTTTGTATATGTCAACAATTCAGACATCAGTGTAAGCTGCAGGTACTAGCACTCATCACAAGACAAGATGTTCTGTTGCAAAAAATCAAATTTCAGCTGATTTTTTATGTATAATGTATGTAAGCAAGACTTGTACCTTCTGCTATTTGTCCAGAAAGTGGCATATTATGTGAAGTTTGATGTTAGAAACATGATTTACATCATGACTTCTCTTTCTTCTGCTTCTTTAAAGATTGTACCACTGGAGGCAGATCTTGGAGATGTGCCTGTTATTGATCACAAACCATCCAAACTGCCGTTGTTCAAAAAGCAGTATGAAAACAAGGTATTTATAGGTAAGAGATTAAGAGATTCTGGTCATGAAATATTAACTACGTTTTTCTATAATAAACCAAAGCAAAACCAAAAAGAGCAACCCCAAAACATTCCCATTCCAACCTTTCTCTTCCCAACAACAGGAAAAAATAATTTATATTTTTATATATAACTATAGTAGCTAAATCTCTCTTGGGATTTCATGTAAGGGAATGGGGAGTAGCATCCTCCTGGACTTGTGGTACTCTGGCCAGATTTGCTTGAAGGAATTGGTTTGAGTAGAAAATTGGCAGAAAAGTTACTTTGACTTATCTATTAAGAGGCAAGCCCTCCAGTCTCACTCAGAAATGGAAGAATCTCAGCATTTTTATAGGTCTGCAGCAGAGATTCTAACCTGTTTGGAATCTGAAGACGTTTTTATGCATAATAAAGAGTGTTCTGTGACTGACTCTTTAATTTTTTTCTTTTGGGGGAACACAGGATCAAAGGTAGCGGATCCGTGCTGTTATGGACACACCCAGTTTCATCTTATTCCTAATAAACTAAAACGAGAGAGATTTGTAAAAGCGCATCTTGAGGATCAGATTGAAGTTCTTTATCGAGCTAATGGCATTGCAAGTCTCTTCGCCTGGACAGCAGCACAAGCAATGTATCAAGGTAAGGTAGTCAACTTGATAAATTCTTCTTACTGTAAACTTCTCTAAACTTTTCTCACCAACATGTTTTTATCATACTTTTTATTCTGAAGGCCATTCTTTAAGTAGGTCTCTGGAAAATTTATTGAGCCATAGAACGAAGCAGACCTGGTACAAGGGAGTTAGTTAAGACTTTGTCTTTGAGTGCTTTGACTCAGGGAGAATTAATTATGCTGAAAAATACCTTTTCATATATAATGTTTAAGACTGTGCAAAAACCTCAATTCTGCTTTCACTTGCTCATGCTGCATTTGCTATAGGGAAGGATAGTAGATACCAAACAGTACATTTATTTGTATTTTTTTCTGAAACAACTATGTTCCTTTGTTTCAGGCATGTCAGTTCTATAGAACTACAGTCAATGAAAGAAAAAATGTCAGCAGCCTTTAGGATTTTATGCCTAGGTTTATTAAAAAAAAATCCCAGAAGACCTAGACTAGTGTTTTGCTTACTTGTGTAAATGTAATTGTTACCTGCTGGTTTGTAGTTTCACTTGTGAAACAATACGTGGAAGAAAATGTACATTGATGGCTCTGCATCAGACTTTTTATGTGTTGATATGTTGGAAAGCTCGACTCTTGTGGACATAAAACACTGAAGTCAAGTCTTGGCTTCAAGGCTGATTACAGTTGTGAGCACATTATGTTTATAAGGACAACATGATCCAAATCTATGGAGATTTTTCTTTGTCCTGTAACAATATTTAGTGGCATTTATTTCATGTACTGAGTATCTTCTAATAATATTACTGTGTGTGCTAGCACACATGCATAAATATGTAAACTAAGTACTTTAAAATAACTATCAATGCTCATTGGGGCTTGTTTGAAACATTAATACTTGCATAGTATTCTTGGAATACTTACATAGTATTCTTGGTGTAGTCAGTTGCACTTATGCATACATAATAAGGCTTCTGTCATGAAAGAAACATTCACTGTCCTGTGAGAAGCTTGGAGTAGTTGAAAGACTTCCCCACAGATTGCTTGCGGGACCTGAATTCCTAACTTAGTTAATTCTGAAAAGTCACTTGACTGATTAGTGTGGGGATTTTACCAGCCAGTAATAGGGAGCTGTGTAAAAAATGCAAATATGCCACTGTGACCCTGATCCTGGAAAGCTCCTCAATTGGTGGTTACAGTTTATTCTGTATGAAGAGTGCTTATGTTGCTAAAGCAGACAGGACTTCTTCCCCTAGTAAGTGGCTGCTGCATTTCCCAGTATTTTTCTGTATTTCAGGATTAGAATGTAGTTGTGTGTGGTGATAAGATTTTGGAGTCCTGTATAACTAGCGGTGTTTCTTTATTTTGTAGGATTCTGGAATGAAGCAGATGTGACCCGTCCTTTTGTATCGCAGGCAGTTGTGACTGATGGAAAATACTTTGCTTTCTTTTGTTACCAGCTAAATACTTTAGCACTAACTGTAGAAACTATTAAAAATAACCCTCGGAAGAATATCTGTTGGGGTACAGACAGTAAGCCATTGTATGATGTTGTGGAAGATGGTAGTGTGAAAGGCTTTAATGATGAAGTTCTGCTTCAGTTGGTTCGTTTTCTGTTAAACAGACCAAAAGAGATCTAAGTTGTCAAGCCTGCCTGAGCTTCATTGTAACTCCATGAAGCATGGGCTACAATATGCCATGTTTTAGTCAAGTCTAGTGAACACTATATACATCTGTAATGATACTTGGGCCTTATTTCTTTATTTTAAATGTATGATACTGTACACTGAAAAGAATAAATATCTAGAATACCTTAATGTCTCCTGTATGTTTATGATTAGACGCATATTGCATTAATTCCAAGCCGTGCGAGTAGTTTCTTTCAGGAGATCCATCGGTCTCTGTTGGTGGTTTAGCCTATCCGTAGGTCTATGTCACAGTAAAACACGAGTTCAAATGACCATCTGATCATGTCACTAGGTACCTGCTGTCTTGGTACTCAGTGCCAGTGCAAAATTTCTAATTTTAGTTTCTAGAGGGAAAGTGTTTCTTAAAAGTGAATCATTGGCAGTTTAGTTACATAGCAAGGGAAATTTTTCAACATTTGTCAAGCAGTAGTATAAACACGATTAAACTTGCTTCCAAAGGTTCTGTTAAGAACATACATACACATTTTTAATCTGTTCTCTCAGGAACCACAGGGAACTTACAAATGAATTTAGAGTCTACAGTTTTCTCTTTATCTTGGGACCTTGATTTCAGCTGTAGACATCTTGATGATTTCATTGCTAATACTTGGATGTCTTATGGCTCTTTTTAGAAGACTGCAGCTGAGCCTAGACCATGTCAAGGATCTCTGAATAAGATACAAGATGTAAGGGCTGTTTAGGACTATTTTCATATCAGCAAAGAGTATCTTGTTTTGAGGTCATCAAACATGCCTGGAATTTTACATAGCTTGTACACCGTGGCTGACCTTTGTGCAAGTTTTATGGATTCTTATTAAGAGTCAAGTATTTTTTGAAGAGAGAGTACTGAATCATATGTGACTTATTGAAATACTGACCTGCACATTCTATGGCTTGAGCAATTTGGGATTGTGCTTGTTATAAACTGACTTGCAAGCGTATTTTCCTAGTGAAGGATGAGATAGTTACAAAGTTTTATCTAATTGATACTTTGCTATGTTGAAACAGCTCAGTTGTCATTGGATAGTCTAGATAAGTAAGATGTGTATGAGTACTGGTTTATTTTTAACAGAAGTAAAAAATCCTTAAGCATTCTTTTTGTCTATACTTGAGTGTTACAAGTCCTGATCCTTGGATTAAATGTATGTTCTGTGTAGGAACAAAATAGAGATTGCTGGATCGGCATTTTGACTGTAGAGAAACAACTTGTGACCTGGCTTAAAAGTGAGTGATTGATACTTGTTTTCTGGTGTGATAAAGGGATAGTGCAAAATGAAAGTAAGGGTACTCAAAAAAACCCATTGGGCATTCTGACCCTGCAAGACAGTCTTTACATTTGGTGAAATATGGTATTGCCATCAACTTGAAACTGTTAGTTGCATGCAAATAGCGGCTGTGGAAAGCTGACATTTAAAGTCAAAGAAACTCAAACTCCTAGGATATAAAAAAAAAGGGCCACTAATTTTTCCATATTCAGCCTTTTGTCTGTCCTGAGGCTTCAGCTGTATTAGAGCAAGTTCAAAGGAGAACTTTTTTTTCCTTTGTGCGGCTTTATTAGTGACTGAAGTGTCACTGTAGATGTAAGCTGCTAGAAGAACCCAGAGCTGGAGTGAGGGAGGAAGGTTTAGTATGGGCTGGCTATTTTGTAATTGCCAAGTACCAACTTCAGCTTTCTGCAGGTGTCTTCAAAAGTCAGTGACATAACTTGGGAAAACAGTGGGTGGCACTGTTTTACCGTGTACTGAGGAAGAGTGTAACGAGCATTCTGCTTTTTTGTTAATGGCAAAGTTGAGACATCATCTCATAGGCGGTTTTCTACTGCAATCTTTCATCTTGTACTCATCTGTCCAGGATGTTTAATATTGCTTTACAACAATAAAATCGAAAGAAAGCTCTTTTTTTCTTTAAAGATTGTACAGCTTCTAAATGTTTTAAGAGTGAAAAGCTCAGAAGCTGCAGCATTCCTATTCTTGAGCTTTGCTCAGCAGCAAACTCCTATGATACTACTCCTTTAAGCCTCATGGGAGCATCATTCTTTAGCATTCTGTTTTGTTGAGTTTGCTGTTAAAAGAAATGCAGAAAGGCATTCAAAGAATACAGGATGAAATCTCCCTAGTATGGATGGTTTTTCTTGTATTAATTTCTGCTTAGGCCTCTTGGACCCTATCACAAAGAAACATAAGGTAGAATCTAAAAAGAAGATTTGATTTTACGCAATGAGGCAAGAAATTGGCTGCTTGTGGCTGGGACAGGCATACCCTTTGCTGGGTGAACAATTGACTGTCTGACTGGGCCCAAAGAGTGATGGTTAAAAATGGAGTTCAATCCAGTTGGTGGCTGGTCACAAGTGGTGTCCCCAGGGCTCAGTGCTGGGGCCAGTTCTGTTTAATTCCTTTATCAGTGATCTGGGTGAGGGGATGGAGTGCACCCTCAGTAAGTTTTCAGGTGACTCCAAACTGAGCGAGAGTGATCTGCTGGATAGTAGGGAGACTCTGCAGAGGGATCTGGACAGGCTGGATCAATGGGCTGAGGCCAGTTGTAGGAGCATCAACAAGGCCAAGGACAGGGTCCTACACTTGGGGCACTCCAAGCCCAGGCAGTGCTACAGGCTCGGAGAGGAGTGGCTGAAAAGCTGCCTGGTGGAAGAGGACCTGGGGGTGTTAGGAGAGGTTCCAGATCGTGGTGGTTTGACTGTGGCTGTAGGCCAGGTGCCCACCAAAGCCACTCTGTCACTCCTTAGATGGATAGAGGAGAGCAAAAATACAGCAAGAGTTTTGTGGGTCAAGGTAAGGACAATTTAATAAAGCAAAGGCAAAAGCCATGTGCAGAAGCAAAAGCAGACATAAAGATTTATTCTCTGCTTCCCATCAGTAGGAGATGCCCGTATGCTTCCTGGGAAGCAGGGCTTCGTTATGTGCAGCAGTTGCTCCAGAGGACAAATGCAAATAATGAATGATTCCCCTTCTTCCTTTTTGCTCTTACCTTTTATAGCCAAGCAGATGTTGTATGGTATGGAATATCCCTTTGGTCAGTTTGGGTCAGCTGTCCTGGGTATGTCCCCTCTCAAGATTTTGATCATCCCAGGCTACTATAGGAGCAATGTTGGAAAGCCAGCCTTGGAGCTGTGCAAACACTGCTCAGCAGTATCCAGAGCACTGGTGTGTTATCAACGCCCTTCTAGCTACCAGTACAAAATACAGCACTATGAGAGCTGCTGTGGGGAAAAAAAACTGCATCTCAATCAGACCCAATATATAGACCATGTTAAAGAAGCCCATGCTGTTTGATTCCGGATATCCTGGACAATGAATTGTTGGAAGATGTTAATAAATGGAGGCCAGTAATGGTTGAAGGGATTGTACTGCAGCCCTTCTCTAGTGTACTGATGAATTATGTAAAGTTCAATTGGTAAATAGATTGTAAAATAAATTTTCGAAACTGAGTTTCTTGGAAGACTTGGCTGTCTCACACCTAAAAATAGGCTATAAAGTGCCATCAAGCAACGTGTAGAAGACAACCAGGGGATCAGGCCCAGCCAGCATGGATTTAGGAAGGGTAGGTCCTGCCTGACCAATCTCATCTCCTTCTGTGGCTGGGTGATCTGTCTAGTGGATGAGGAGAAGGCTGTGTGGATGTGGTCTACCTCGACTTCTTGACACAATCTCCCACAGCATCCTCCTGGAAAAGCTGGCAGCCCATAGCTTGGACGGATGCACCTTTTGCTGGATTAAAAACTGACTGGATGACCGGCCCCAGAGAGTGGTGGTGAATGGTGCTGCATCCAGTTGGCGTCTGGTGACCAGTGGTGTCCCCCAGGGATCAGTACTGGGGCCAGTCTTATTCAGCATACTTATTGATGACCTGGATGAGGGGATTGAGTCCACCCTCATTGAATTTGTGGATGACACCAAACTGGGAGGGAGTGTTGATCTACTGGAGAGTAGGAAGGCACTGCAGAGGGACCTGGGCAGGCTGGGTTGATGAGCCAAGGCCAACGGTATGAAGTTCAAGACCAAATGCAGCGTCCTACACTTTGACCACAATAACCCCCAGCAGCGCTACCGACTGGGGGAGGAGTGGCTGGAGAGCGGCCCGGCATAGAGGGACCTGGGGGTGTGGATGGACAGCTGGCTAAACATGAGCAAGCAGTGTGCCCAGGTGGCCAAGAAGGCCAATGGCATCCTGAGGAACGGTGTGGCCAGCAGGAGCAGGGATGTGATTCTGCCCCTGTGCTCAGCACTGGTGAGGCCTCACCTTGAGCCCTGTGTGCAGGGCTGGGCCCCTCCCTGCAAGAAAGACCTTGAGGGGCTGGAGCGGGTCCAGAGGAGAGCAACGAGGCTGGGGAAGGGACTAGAGGGAAAGTCCTGTGAGGAGAGGCTGAGGGAGCTGGGGGTGTTTAGCTTGGAGAAGAGGAGACTCAGGGGGGACCTTACCACTCTCTACAACTGCCTGAAGGGAGGTTGCAGTCAGGTGGGGGTAATAGCTCAATGCACTTTATCACTCCTCTCAGGGGACACATTACAGGATCATTTTCACTGTTGGAAGCTGTAGTGCCTGCACTGCAAATATACATCCTTCTGTCAGATATCCCAGAGCAGGTTTAAATCTCAACCTCAAATTTCAGCCTGTAAAGTCTTCTCGTTTGTTTGAAAATAATTTTCTGCACCAGCACATTTCTTTAGGTAGCTGAAAGTGTTCTAAAGTAGGAATTTTAAAAGTCAAGTTCTGTGATTGTTTATCCTGCAGAAGACAGTCTCAGGAAGCATCTTACGAATGTGTGTAAATACCTTATGG